GCAGAGACACTGCAAGGAGTAATAGGCAAACTGATCGCGCACGTTCACCAGGTTGTTGTTGGGGTTGATGTGGTCGAGGCAGTGGGACTCGGCCTTCCCGGAGGTTTTGCACACGTACTTGCAGTTCCCAAAGAGACAGTGGAAGTGGAACTTGTTGGCGTACTTGCAGTCCGTTGCCAGGCACGGATCGCTGGAGGGGAGACCAACCGTGAGCCCTTCTGGCTAAGAGGGACGATTGCCAGCTTCCCCTTCCCCGCCGTGGGCAGCCCGGGGACCAGCCTCGGACACGCCACACCCAGATTCCCACACACCCCCCCTGGATCCCGCCTCGTCCTTCCGAAAGAGCCACTCACTTCTCCTGGAACTGGAGGAAGCCCGGCTTGACCTGAGGCTTGGCGTTCTCCAGGGAAGTGGTGGCCAGGCCGGCCCCCGAGGCCGGCAGCTGAGACATGGTGGAGGCCAGCTGTTTCCAGGCCAGGAGCGTGGGAGCGGACGGCACACTAGCCGGACTCGCGGTGGGCCCCTCTGCGGCCGCGGCCAGAAGGGCGGAGGCGGTGGATGGAGAGGAAGGGGTGATGGAGGTCTTGTTCTCCGCCGGCGTTGGGAAGCCGTGCTCCGAGGTTCCCTTCGCGGCGCCCCCCTCTGTTCGGAAGTGGAAACTACGGAGAGGGGTGAGGAGAGAGAGAGACCCATCAGCCACAGACATGGAAAAGGAGAGCAGCTCATTCAGTTGCCCCGTTTAGGCTTCGCTTAGTGGTCTCCCGCTCGTTTCTGAATCCCTAAGACTGATTCTGGGCAGCTTCACAAAATTAAAAATGTCACAATGTAACAGACATCTGAGGGGCCCTCACCTTCCCCTTACAGGCTGTCCAAAACTCATGTGGCTAGATCTCAATTTATAAGTATGTCTGAAAGTGGGCAAGATCCAAATCTCCAGGGCAGATGCTCTGGACAAAGCTCTGGGGTTCTACCACAACGCTGCTCCCCCTCGTCATTCTTGGGCCTTTTTCCAGCTTGAAAACCCCTAGACTGAAGGATCTACACACACACACACACACACACACACACACACACACACACACACACACACTCTCTCTCTCTCTCTCTCTCTCTTCAAACTTGGCCCTTTTATGACTTGTGGACTTCAACTCCCAGAATTCCTCAGCCAGGCACGCGTGGCCAAGTTTGAAGATCCCTGAGCTAGAACATAAAGAATTGGAAGGGACACCTTGGAGGTCATCTAGCCCAACCCCTGCTCAAGCAGGAGAGTCTATATCAGGGGTCTTCAAACTTGGCCCTTTGACGACTTGTGGACTTCAACTCGCAGAATATTTTTGTTTGTTTGCTGTGGGTGTGTTGGGTTTGTATTCCTGTACGTGGCCCAGAGTCACCGAGAGTGAGTGGACGGCCAGAGGCATTTTTTTTTTTTAAAGAAACAAACAGGTCCCTCTGCCTGTAACCATCTCTGCCATCTCCATTCTTCCTCCTCCGGGCCTGAAGGGATTTAAAAAGCGTGTGCACAAACACACACACACACAGCCTGGGACTTACTTAGCGTGCTTCAGGGCTCCATCCACGGTGCTGAAGAGGGCCCCACACTCTTCCACCACACAGTGGAAATGCATCTTGTGAAGGAAGTCGCACTGGGCATCGCAGAAATCCTTGGTGCCAAATCTGCCAAGAAGAGGGGGGGGGGGAGCCTGAAACTCTGCAGGCCCCCGTTTGGCCCCTGGGCTGCCCCACGGACACGCAGAGACCCCCCCGGTGATTCAGGCCAGACCCCTACCCGGGACCCCGCCACTCTCCCCCTCCGGCCTGCAAAGCAGAGGCTGCCCTCCTGGGCCCAGAGTCCCCCCCCCTCCCCTGCTCCCCATTTTAAGTGGCTGGTCTCATTCTGCAAGCGGCAGGAATGTTCATTCCTAGCTGGGCTTTGAATGGGAGACAAGGACACCCCCTCCTTGGGAGGCAGCATAATGGCCCAGCTGATCAGGCAGATACTGGGGGACAAAGACCTTCCTGCTGGACGAGGAAGAAGCGGGGCTCCCATCTCCTAAGAGGGTCAATCTTTTAATTAACTGTTTGGCTTTGAATCGGCTGGATTTAAATATATTTACATACTGGAAAACACAGATGAAGGTGTCCTTTTTACGGAAAGAAAGCATCACCACCGTCTCTTTTATATATATATATATGCAAGCAGCCCAGGTTCGAATCTCAGAAGGGTGTATCTGGCTGATGAGAGCTAAGGAGCTCGAAATAGCTATATCAGCTTCCCTTTTAACTCTTGGTTAGCAATCCAAATTTAACACACACAAATCTAACACACACACACAACACTGGAAGTTTTTAAGAAGAGATTGGACAGCCATTTGTCTGAAATGGTATAGGGTTTCTTGCCTGAGCAGGGGGTTGGACTAGATGACCTTCAAGGTCCCTTCCAACTTTACTACTACTACTACTACTACTACTACTACTACTACTACTATTATTATTATTATTATTATTATTATTATTATTATTATTATTATTATTATTATTATTATTATTATATATGAGACGGTGTTGCTTTCTTACATATAAATATATGTTTTCTGTCTGATTTGGGAAAAAAAATCGAGCCTTTTCTTATCATGGGTTTTTTTTTAAAGCCAGTGGGGGGGTCAATTTTTGATTTTTTTTTCGTTCAGCCTTTCCTGGGAGTAAGGCAGCTGTAACGCCCCACCTCTCCTTGTGAGAAGGCTCATGATCTTTAAGGAGACGGTTGTCGTGTAGCAGACAGAGGAGCTGCGAGAAGCAGCTTCAGAAGCGCTGTGGACCTTTCTGGAAAAGCCAAATAATCCCTTTTCGAAGACCGAAGGAACCACAGGTGGGGGAAAAGGGGAACCTAATTCATTCGGCTTCTCTGGCTGGGCGTTTCTTAACTTCGAGTCTTCCCCAAAGTGGTTCAGACACAAACAGGGCTGGGTCAGGAGTGACTGGAGGGCTTGAAAACCAAAGTGAGTATTTCAATAGTAAGAACTGGGCAAGGCAGGGCTGCAAGGAGCTGAAGGCTCGCTGGCCTGAATTGAACAAATTGATCCCCCAAGAAAAGAAGCAGCCAACTTAAGGCAAAGGGGCAAATCCAGGGAATAACAGGAGACGGAGGCTGGTGGATGTTGCTGCTTGAGAGTGGGGACCCAGGCCCTGATTTTGGACACCAAACCCCCTCTGGCTCCTTCGGGCAAGCTCTGAATTTCCCAATGCAGGGAACTAGTTGATTTGACTTCCTGGGTATGCTAGGCCCGTTTTATGTGCATTGAGTCTGTTTTTTTTTTATTGCAAATGTCTTTACAGAGGCTGAGGCAGGGTTAAATTCCATTAATGGGCAAAATAACTCAAGTCCCCGGGACGTAGTGATGCCTGAGCTACTGGAAGCTTACCAGGGCCCTGGCACTCTGCCCTGCACGCTGCTCTGGTGCCCAACACACGAGTTGCCTTGAGCAGCCACCGAGGGCAGGGAAGGCTCCCTGCCACCCAGGCCCGGGGCCTTCCGTGGGGCAGCGCTGACCTCCAAGCGGCCCTTTTGGTCTCCTCCTGCCCTCACCTGCGCAAATACATCTTCCAGGGCTCGGCGAGCTTCTCCTGAACCAGAGCCTTCACTGTCTTGCCCAGATACTGGCTGGCGTCTCCCGCAGCTGGCAGCTGCCCACCGTCGTTCTCCCCCTTCAAGCTGAGGAGGCTTCCCAGATTCGGGTTATTCTGAGACATCTGCGGGCAGAAAAGGGATTCCGGCGTTAGGAGAGAAGCCGGGAACTTCCCGAGCGGATCTCTAGGAGAAAAAAAAACGTGAGAGGCATAGACCCGTGGATTCGGCCGACGCAAGGAATCCCTGCGGGTTTTATTCCGCTGGTCGTTGCCGACTCTAGGGGGCGCTGCTCACCTCCGTTTTTAAGGCCCTAGAGCCAGCGCCGTCGAAAGACCTTTCCGCGATCACGTGGTCACCGAAGGGGTACCTATTTATCTACTCGCGCTTACATGCTTTTGAACGGCAAGGTTGGCAGGAGCGGCAGCGAGAACGGGAGCTCGCCCTGTTGCGTGGCGCTGGGGTCTCAAACCCGGGCTGCCAACTTTCCAGCCGTCAAGCCCAGAGTCTTATCTGCTCCATCAATTACACTCTCCCGGAGCGGTTTTAAGCAAGCTGCTGAACACCCATCGTCCCCAGCAAGCCTGGCTTTTAGGGTGGTTTGGTCTGAATGACCCCCATCTCCTCGTAGGATGGGCCATTCCTCTCCTCTCTCTCCTGGGTCAGAGGAAGCATTTGCTGCTGCCTTGGTGGAAAGACGAGGCCCCTTGCCATTATACGAGGCGTGGTTAGAATGCAGCGTTGCAGGCTAAACTCTGCCGACTGCCCGCAGTTCGATTCTCCCTGGCTCAAGGTCGACTCAGCCTTCCGTCCTTCCGAGGTCGGTAAAACGAGGACCCAAATTGTTGGGGGGCAACAGGCCGACTCTGTCAACCGCTTAGAGAGGACTGTAAAGCACTGTGAGCAGTATATAAGTGCTAAATGCTATTGCTATTCCTTCCTTCCTTCCGTCTGTCCGCCATGGTGGCACGGTGGTTAGAATGCAGTATTGCAGGCTGACTTTGCCCACTGCCAGCAGTTCGATCCTGACCGGCTCAAGGTCGACTCAGGCTTCCATCCTTCCGAGGTCGGTAAAATGAGGACCCAGATTGTTGGGGGGCAACAGGCTGACTCTGTCAACCGCTTAGAGAGGGTTGTAAAGCACCGTGAAGTGGTATATAAGTGCTAAGTGCTATTGCTATTGCTCTCACGTCCGGGAAGGTGGCTAATGCTAGCCTTAATCAGAAGCCAGTTTGAAGGTGGCAGGGTTTAAGCTACCCAGAAGGCCAAGCTTTGCAAATTCCTCCCAAAGGGCGAGGGGGGCGACAGGAGAGTCAAGCTAAAGAAAGTGCTGGAGAACTGGGGAGAAAGAGAGAGACCCTCGAAAGCCTGGCGAGAACGGATGCAGCTCCAAGCAAATCCACACCGTCGTTCCGGGAAGATCCTTAGCCCTGCCTGGATGGCAGGTTCAGGGCAGCGCCTCGGAAGAAACCCCAACGTTGGCTTTGAGGATAAGCAGGCTCCGAGTGGTCCTGGCTATGTAAGGCAAGGCAAACGCTCTCGCCCAAATTATATTTAACATTTACAGAAGGAGAGAAAAGAAAAAAAAACCACACCGCCGATGGATGCGTAATTTAAATAATGGTCTTCATAAAAGGTCCGCGTGATTTTTCAAAACGAAAGGCTTTCGAGAGGAGCCTGCTCGCTCCAAAATTTTGGCGGCCCTTCTCCCTTCTTTTCCATTCTCGGAAAAATAAACAAAAAAAGGGGGGAAAAAAAGCAGATTCCTCCAACCCCCTTTTTGAAACTTCTAAGGTAAATACACGGCACTAATAAAAAGCAAAAGAAGAAGTGGCTGGTTCTGAAATTAAAAAACAACAAGCCCCTTCAGAGTCCTCCTGCTTCTGGTGGGGTGGGGAAAGAAAGAAAGAAAGAAAGAAAGAAAGGGAGGAAGAAAGAAAGAAAGAAAGAAAGAAAGAAAGAAAGAAAGAAAGAAAGAAAGAAAGAAAGAAAGAAAGAAAGAAAGAAAGAAAGAAAGAAAGAAAGAAAGAAAGAAAGAAAGAAGGAAGGAAAGAAATAAAGAAAGAAAGAAGGAAGGAAGGAAGGAAGGAAGGAAGGAAGGAAAGAAGGAAGGAAGAAAGGAAGGAAGGAAGAAAGGAAGGAAGGAAGGAAGAAAGAAAGAAGAGAGAAAGAAAGAAGAGAGAAAGAAAGAAGGAAGGAAGGAAGGAAGGAAGGAAGGAAGAAAGGAAGGAAGGAAGAAAGGAAGGAGACAGAGAGAGAGAGAGAGAGAGAGAGAGAGAGAGAGAGAGAGAGAGAGAGAGAGAGAGAGAGAGAGAGAGAGAGAGAGAGAGAGAGAGAGAGAGAGAGAGAGAGAGAGAGAGAGAGAGAGAGAGAGAGAGAGAGAGAGAATGTGTGTGTGTGTCAGGGGCTGCGATATATTTCTTCAGCCAGTTCATTAAATTAATTCGTAAGCAGTGGCTCTGAAATTATACCCGATGAAAAATGGTCTCAAAATTTAAATGGTACAAACTCATCTTATTAGAGGGAAAACATTAAAAAACAAACGCGTCTCCCTCTCTCCTCTCTTGCTTTAATTTCTCTGGGTGGGGGGAAATGAAAGCCAGGTTGATGGATGGCTCTTACCTTATTCATAAGCGAGGATAAAAGAGATGAATTTGCCGAGACTGTGTGGCCATTTGATTCATTACTGGAACACACAAACCAACAGGGCTTAGTTAAGATGTGCATAGGGGACCTGCAATTAATTCTCTTTTCAAATTGGAAAAAAAAAACAAAAAACCAACCACCTCCCCATCTTCCCACCTGATGCATACGAAGGATGAGGGGAAGGAACCCGCCCTTCTCCCGGGCTGGGACACCCGCCCTTTGCACCGTCTGCCTCTGCGGCTTTCGGATCTGGCCTGGATAGCCCACCGGATAGCCCACTTCCCCTTCCAATGTGGTCCCAGATGGGAGCCTTCTCCTCTCCACTCTGCTAGGAGAGAAGGCTAGAAGGGCTTCCTGCCGTGGTTCCGAAGATGGGAGCACCTGGGAAGTCTCCCTTATTGCTCAACCACAATGCCCCAACTCTAGCTGGGAGGTTAAACAGGTAAGGAGGCCCAAGACACACACGGGGCCCACCAAAAAGCTTAGCCAGTCCCAGATGGGAGCCTTCTCCTCTCCACTCTGCTAGGAGAGAAGGCTAGAAGGGCTTCCTGCCATGGTTTCGAAGATGGGAGCACCTGGGAAGTCTCCCTTATTGCTCAACCACAATGCCCCAACTCTAGCTGGGAGGTTAAACAGGTAAGGAGGCCCAAGACACACACGGGGGCCACCAAAAAGCTTAGCCAGTCCCAGATGGGAGCCTTCTCCTCTCCACTCTGTTAGGAGAGAAGGCTAGAAGGGCTTCCTGCCGTGGTTCCGACAATGGGAGCACCTGGCTGGGAGGTCCCCCTTTTTGCTCAGCCACAATGCCCCAACTCTGGCTAGGAGGTTAAACAGGTAAGGAGGCCCAAGACACACACAGGGGCCCACCAAAAAACTCAACCAGTGGGGCCTCATCCTTGAAGTGGAGATATTTCCACTTCAGGCGGGTCTTGGGATCCAGGTGGGCTGGCCAACGGCAAGGGATTGCGGGAGACGTCCCCAATTTGGGTTGTTCTCCTCTGTTTTAGCATAGAGTAGAGCTGGAAGGGACCTTGGAGGTCTTCTAGTCCAGCCCCCCGCTCAAGCAGGGGAACCTATACCATCTCAGACAGGTGACTGTCCAGTCTCTTCTTGAAAAACCTCCAGTGATGGAGCCGCCCACGGTTTCTTACCCGTGATCTTTCATTCTAAGGTCCAGGCTGTGCTCCTGCAAGGAATCCTGGCTTGCGGTGGGTCCCGAGCCGGGATTCTCAGCCGCCTCGGGCTTCATCTGCGTTAGGTTAAACCGCCCAGGGGTCGTGGGCTGCCCGTTTCCTGCACGTGCGAAAGAGGGAGATGGAGGGAGAGAGAGAGAGACCCACAAAGCGTCACTAAACAAAGTCGTGGAAATCGAGCCACAATAAGAAATTGTGTTTAAAATCACAAACACACAGGGAGAAAAACAACCATCTCTCCCCCCCGCCCCCCGCAACACACAGGCCGTTTGAGGGAGAGAGAGGCCGGGGTTAGCTGGTCAGCATTTATTGCTGGGCTGACGTGATGGGGTCTGACGTCCATTCCTGGTGTGGAAATTCTTCGAGTGATAATTATTGCAAAAATTATGTCAAAGTTGTCCAGGCTGTGGGGCTCTTTGAAGGAGAAGGACGGAAGGAGGCGAGGGGGGCAGATCTGAGGCTCTGTGCAAGCTGTCATAACTCATTTGTGGGGCTGCCTCTTAAACGTTTATTAAAGATGCCGTGAATGCTGAGGCAATGTGGCAGCCTTGGGCCGCTAGTCAAGCCCCTTCCCCTTCCCCAGTCTCCATGTTGCCTTGGTGACTGGCACCGGTCCCTCTACTGAGCATGCCCAGAAGGAACGTCTGCCATGTCAGCCCGATCGAAAATGACACCCAATCCCATTGGTTCAAACCGCCTGACCCCCTCGGCCCCAGCGCGGGGGCTCGGCCAAGCGGCCTCCTTGGCATCGGCCCCGGCCTTCCTCCCTCTTCCTAAACCACCCACTCCCGTTTGGCAAAAGCAAAGTGGTCCCCAAAAGGAGGCTGAGACCCACCCCCAGAGAGGCGGGGAGAAGGACCCTGCGTGCGGGAAGGATTGAAGCACGACAGGGAAAAGTTGCTGACGGGAACGTCTCTGCCGAGTTTCTCGCCACTACGCTGACTAAAATATTAATTTGCCCAGAGGCACTTCAGCTGATGGGGAATTTGCTCCTCCGAGGGCAAGTGGCTTTTTATGGGAAAAAAAAGAAAAAGAAAAAGAAAAGAAAAGAAAAGAGAAAGGAAGGAAGGAAGGAAAGGAAGAAGAAAAGAAGGAAGGAAAGAAGGAAGGAAGAAAGAAAGAGAAAGAAAGAAGGAAGGAAAGAAGGAAGAAAAGAAAAAGAAAGAAAGAAAGAAAGAAAGAAAGAAAGAAAGAAAGAAAGAAAGAAAGAAAGAAAGAAAGAAAGAAAGAAAGAAAGAAAGAAAGGAAGGAAGGAGGAAGGAAGGAAGGAAGGAAGGAAGGAAAGAAGGAAGGAAGAAAAGAAAAAGAAAGAAAGAAAGAGAAGAAAGGAAGGAAGGAAAGAAGGAAGGAAAGAAGGAAGGAAGAAAAGAAAGGAAGAAGGAAGGAAGGAAGAAAAGAAAGAGAAGGAAAGAAGGAAGGAAGAAAAGAAAGAGAAAGAAAGAAAGAAAGAAAGGAGGAAGGAAGGAAGGAAAGAAGGAAGGAAGGAAGAAAAGAAAGAAAGAAGGAAGAAAAGAAAGAGAAGGAAAGAAGGAAGAAAAGAAAGAGAAAGAAAGAAGGAAGGAAAGATGGAAAGAAGGAAGGAAGAAAAGAAAGAGAAAGAAAGAAAGAAAGAAAGAAAGAAAGGAATGTAAGAAGGAAGGAAGGAAACAAGGAAGGAAAGAGAGAGAAAGAAAGAAAAAGAAATCAATCAATCAATCAATGACCGCTCTCCTTGTTAAGGAAGATTCCCCCTCCACACACCCCTGGCCTTTTTAAAAAATAATGGGGAGAATAAAAGGCTTCCTGGGAAACTGGCTATTCCACACACACCCCCACCCCCCCACCCCGTGCCCTGGGGCCTAGTCTGAGCTGGACTTGAAAGGACCGCAAAGATTCCCAATTCCAGCCCAGGGGAAGGGTGACTTGGGACCTGCCCCAAAGGCTGATCTCCTGATTGCAGCCTCCCTCTTTTTCTCCATGGGGAGGGGGGATGACCCGCTAGGCCTCCCCTTTGGCGTTTCGCCCGTGAACCGCTTCAAGGAGGAGGAGGGACTCCTGCCGAGGGACTCACCTGCCTCCACCGCCACGGAGGGCTTCAGGGCCGCTGCCGCTAACCGAGCCATCATGGGCGAAATCAACCCTTTGCTGGCCGAGATCTTCTCCATGATGGAGGCGGCTGGAGTTGGCGAAGAGATGGCCGCCGCCTCGCCAGAACCTGAGAGGGCCGGGGAAGGGGAGCTGGCCGAAGACGCCGGGTTGGTGCTCGGCGTGCCGGCGGCTAGCAAGCCGGTGGAGCTGGCGGGCAGCTGGGCCGAGACCCGGCTGGGGAGCATGGGGAAGTAGGCGCCTGCCGTTCCCGGAAGCGCTGCGTTGGGCAGGGCCAGGGCCAAAGGGATATTGCTCGGGAGAGCCTGCGAGAGCAGGGCGGGCATTTTGGAGGCCGAGGGCATATTGCTGGCGGGTTTGCTGGCGGCCAGCTCGGCGGCCGACGAGGGCGTGCCCGGGACGATCAAGGAGACGGAAGACTGCTGACTGGTGGGTGAGGCACTCAAGCTGGAGTTCTTGGAGCTCATGGCGGAAAAATCGATCAGGTCGTCGTTGCTGGACTCCTCCTGCTCGTTCTCCTTGGCGCCCAGCAGCGAGGCGGGCAAGCCCAGCATGCCCGAGCTGCGGATGTGCCGGCGCTCGTGTTTGCGCTTGTGGGAGGTCATCTGGCTGGTGGAGGTGAAGGTGAAGCCGCAGCCGGGCCGGATGCAGTGGAAGTGGTTGGTGGCCTTGCTGTAGACGCAGCCCTCGTACTTGCATTCCTCGTACTTGTAGAACTTCTTGAAGCCGTCCTTGGCGTAGGCGTCGTCCTTGATGTGGTAGCTCTTGTGCTTCTCGATGTCGCACTTGTTCTTGAAGGTGAAGGTGCAACCGGGCCGCCTGCGAGAGAGAAAAGGAGGGGATCAGGCCCGGGGACCAGGAAGCGGCTTTCACTTGCCTTACCCTCCGGGACGGTGAAGTCGGGACGGAAGCGGCCGATCCCTCACAGCCAGACACCGGGAAGCTAAGCGTGTTCTGCCTTGGTGTCTTGGTTCTGCCTGAGTTTTTCACTAGAGTTGGAGTCTACTACTGCAGGGGTCCCCAATCCCCGGTCCGTGGACCAGTACCGGGCAGCAACCGGTCCGCACAAACAAGCGAAGCCTCATCCACGGGATGGAGGCAGCACACAAAACCACGCACCCTCCGGTCCGCGGAAAAACCTCTCTCCACGGAACCGGTGGTCCCTGGTGCCCAAAAGGTTGGGCACCTTTGCACTACTGGGCCGTGAGCTGTTCAGAACCGAAGCAGCGAGCGCATGTACACACCCCCCCACTTGAGCAAGCAGTGGGTGAGCACGTGCCCACGTGCTCCGTTTGCGCAAGCGGCGGGGACGCTGGCTCGCCGCTCGTGCAAAGGGAGCTGCCCACGAGCGCGTTTACCAGCCGCGCACGCAGAACCATCCCCCTCTCCGCCCCCCTCCACCAGAAAATTTGGGGAACTCTGCACTAGAGGTTGAACTGAGGCCTGCCAGCAAAGCGTCGAGTCGGCTACAAGGGGCTCTTCCCCCAAGACCACTTGGAAATATTTGCTGAAGTAACGGCTTTCATGGGACAGCAGATCTGGCTTTGTGGCTGGAGTTTACTTCTCTGGTCCCACTTCTAAAAACTTTGTGGGCTCCAACCTCCAGCATGAATATATGGACACATGTCCGAAACCTTTGAGCAAGCAAGACACATCAGAGCCAGGGATCCCAAAAGGCCCAGCCTGTTGCCCAAGGGCACAGCTCATTTGGCCACTGGTCTTAACTCAAATCTGGGCCTAGATGGATCACCGTGAATGATCCATCCAAGGGAAGCCAAGGCTTCGTCAACCCCATCAAATGTCTCCCCGCATTGGTCCTAAGCGATGCTGGGCAGAGCCCTAGCGTGGAGAAGAACCGTAGGGGTGCCCACCCATCCAGTCAGAACCTTTCCCCCCCCCTTTTGCCCCCGTGCCCACCTGCAGTGGAAGTGAGTGGTCTTCTGCCCGTAGAACTGGCAGTCCACCGTGCCGCAGTCTTCGGTGGCCCGGAAGCGCTGGAAGCCATCGTTGATCAGTTGCGTGTTCTTTTTGTGGAAGTTTTCATGGGTCATCACATCGGAGGTGCTGGTGTAGACCTTGTTGCAGCCCACCTGGGGAAGGGAGGGGAACCAGGACAACTAGTCAGAAAGCTGCAGAGGGTTTAAAAAAAAAAAGAGCCAGGTTTTCTGAGTGTGGCAGCATTGCTATAACTTCTGACATTTCCGTCTTTCCAGAAGAAGAAACAGAGGGAGGAAGAAAAGCAGAAGGGAGGGGACCAAAGGATTGGTGTCAGAATTGGAAGGGACCTTGGGAGGTCTCCTAGCCCAACCCCCAGCTCAAGCAGGTGATCCTATATACCAGGGGTCCCCAACCACTGGTCCGTGGACCAATACCGGGCCGTGGCATGCCAGAAACCGGTCCACACAAACAAGCAAAGCCCCATCCGTGGGATGGAGGTAGCACACAAAACCACGCACTCTCTAGTCCGTGGAAAAACCTCTCTCCACGGAACCAGTCCCTGGTGCCCCAAAGGTTGGGGACCTCTGCCCTATACCATTTCAGACAAGTGGCTGTCCAATCTCTTCTTAAAAACTTCCAGTGTTGGAGCGTTCACAACTTCTGGAGGCAGGTTGTTCCACTGATTAAATTGTGCTAACGGTCAGGAAGTTTCTCCTTAGTTCCAGGCTGCTTCTCTCCTAGATTTGGGGTCCCTGGCAGAAAGAGACCCCTTTCCCAGCTCTGCTAAAGGCGCGGCCCGTGAGCTATGGGGCTTCAGGAAAAAAAAGAGAGAGAGAGAGAGAGAGGGAGAGGGAGGGGGAGAGAGGGAGAGAGAGAGGGAGGGAGGGAGAGAGAGAGAGAGAGGGAGGGAGAGAGAGAGAGAGAG